GGCCAGGGGCAGCCAGCCCACGGCAGCCGCCCGTGCAAAGGGCAGCCACGTGGCCACTCCTGCCGCCATCCTGCGGCTCCCAGGCCCACGGAGACTAGGGGATTGGTGTCTAGGAGAATGTGGCTGTCTCCAGGATGTTGGGGACTTGGAGAGGCCCTGGGCCACCAGGACAAGGAAACTGGGAGTGTCTAGAGAGGCCAAGAGGAACCACGAGGTGGAAGTAGAGAGATGGGCAGGAGCTTGCGGGGCATTAGGCAATCTAGGAGGGGCCTGGCTGGTGTTCCGAGAGACTGAGAAAGGACGGAGGCAGCCCCTTGTTGAGGGGCCAACAAAGATCCTCAGGTTTAGAGACAGATGATTCCACTGGAGTCAGCATGTGCGTGAAGATGTCCAGAGGTTTGGAGGGATGAAGAAATTTAGCGGGGATATTGCCCACATTTTGGAGTCCTCAGGGAAGAAAGAGCCCTTAGTAGGGCTGAAGAGGATATTGGGGCATCCAGAGGGGTACAGATACTTGAAAGAGACTGGCAGTGTCTGAGGAGGTAGGCTCTAAATGGGCTGGGAAGAGGGGGGAGGGTTGCCCACACCCTCAAGATTTCTAGAGAAAAGATAAGGGGGTTGGAGCTCTCTCACGGATCTGAAACAGGGGCTGACGCATCTCAAGGGGGGCTATATAGCCAGGAGGTTGTAAAGAGGCTAAAAAGTACCCAGAGCTGCAAGAATAGCCTGGGGGGATCGTCTATGTATGCCCTAGGAGTTCTGGGAGTTCTGAGTAACTTGGGAGAGCTGTAGTGTGGTGAAGAGGGGAATGGGGTGGTTAAAAGGATGGATATGGGGCTGGGCTATTTTTGAAGAGGCTAGGGAATATCTGGGAGAGGGAGTATCTGGAAGGACTGAAGAAGCTTGGTTCACTCTTGGAAGAGTTCTGTGGGAAGGAAAAAGGGGCCCGGGGAATCCCAAGGGAATGGAACTTAACTGGACCAAAGTTGGGCACAGACCCTGAGCACCCAGGGGATCTCAAAAGACTAAGAGGAAAGGGGTTCCCCCAAAAATGGGTTGGAGGAGGTGGGGCTTTGAAAGGGAGTTGGGTGTGTCTCCAGGCAGGGGGCTGCTGGACAGAGCAGGAGGCTACTGGGGGAGGCCAGGAAAACGCAGGACAGGAGAAGGCTGGGTCCCATCGATGGGGGCAGGTCTGGGGAAACCACACCCCAAGGGGCTGGCGGTGTGTAGTGGGCAGCAGCAGTAGCAGTAGCAGCAGCAGCAGCGGCGGCAGGAGGAAAAGCAGCAGCCACAGCCAGGCCTAGGAGGGGAGCCGGTACAGGCAGGGGGAAGGGGCTGAGTCCCTGGAAGGACAAGGTCCAGTGGGACCCCAGGGACTGTCCCAGGATGGGCTAGGGCATGGAGGCTGGACCAAGGAAGGACAAAGACAGTGCTACTGGTAGCCCCCGTCCCTTCCCCATAGGGCCGTCCTCACCTTTGTCCCCACTGCAGCAGCGGTGGGGCTGGGGTACACCGGAGCGGAGCTGCCTGGCCCCTCTGCAGTGCTGCTGGAGTTCTCCTCCTCCTGCTTTCTCTCCCCGCCCCTCCGCGCTAGCCGGGAGATGGAGGCTGGGAGGGGCCTCGTAGCTCCCAGAGCCCCCTCCCCTAGGACTGCTTGAGAGGGACCCTGGGGAGACTCCGCCTCCTACAAAGCTGGTTGGGCCTCAGTCGCGTCATCTGGAAAATGGGGGTGGCAGGGAGCTTTGCCAGTTCTCCCCACCTCCTTCCTGGACTCCCCTCTTCCTCCCTTTCTCCCCACCTCCTTCCTGGACTCCCCCCTCTTCCTGCCCGGCTCCTACCCCCTCTGCCCCCAGGGGCCCCCACCCCCACCCGCCTGAATCAGCAGCACTTAGCTGATCCGATCGATGGAAAGGCGTCTGTTAATGGCCCCAGAGCGGAGTGCAATGGGGAATGATGCAGCGCTGTGTCCCCTCCCTGCCTCCCCCGCCAGGCTGTGGAGAGCAGAAGCTGGGTTGGGGTTTGTTATTGGTTGTGAGAAGGTGTTTCTATAGTTGGCTAGGTCTTCAAACCACCCCCCATGGGGGAGCAATGTAGATTAAAGCCCAGCTTTAAGCAAGACCCACTGTGGGACCGGAGCTCCTCTTCCACTGGTTTTGCATGTGTGGTGAGGAGTGAGGCGGGTGCAGATGGGGATAAACCAGGCCCACACCCTACCCACAGTCCCCGTGCCATGAGGGCAGGATCCCTCATCAGTCCACATCCAGGGCACAAGTCACAACTCCTCCCCTAGAGGGCTCTACTCCTGGGTAGCAGGCACATAGAGTATGCAATGCCTCTGGCAGGCATGGGTAGGTTCAAACACCAGCTTTGCCACTGACTTGTGTCCTTGAGCAAATGATTTGTATTGTTTTCTCAGTTGAAGAATTATCCCACCTTGACACTGTCATTTGGAGAATAAATGAAGTGATGTGAAAGGGGTGGCACAAGGCCTGGCATACACAGGATGCCTAATTTTAATTAAGGTGTGTGGTGATTCACTCACTTGATGGGTGGATGAAAGACAAAGGGGTGCAGTAACACAGGGCCAGATCTAGCTCTTCGATTCATTTACTCACCCATGAAATCCTCCATTTGCTCATTCATCACACTCCTGACTTGTCCATCCTTCCACCCCTCCACATGCCCACCCACCAGTTCTCCTACCCATAGAATCAATCACTCTCCCATCCTTCCACCCACCCGTCTGTCCACTTGGTCATTAATTTATCTGTTCACTCATCCACATAAACATTCCCCAACCTACCCATAGGTATCAATGGCCCCACCCACCATTTATGGCCCCTCTTTACCTTTCCCATTCATTAGCTCATCATCCATACATTCTTATTCATCTACCAACTTACTCCCATAAATTCATCCATCCACCAATCAACCTAATTCACCTACCCATCTAATCGTCCACACATCCATATATCCAATATCTCCTCTTATCTAGCCTCTATCTACTTACTGATCCATCTATGCATTTATTCATCCAACCACCTATCCATCCATATGTCCACTTATTTCCCAGCCTATCCATCATTGATCCATGAAATCTTTCACATATTTATCCATCAGTCCATCCAGCCACTTACACATCCTCCCCTCTCCACTCATCCACACCCACATCCACCCACATATATTGGCAGACATTTCTCCTCTGCTCAGTTTGAGAGGTTGGTCAGGGCACAGGTTGAAGTGAGGGTAGAGAAAGAAGAGTAAAGTTGCAGTCAGAGACCTTCCCATTCCAATGGAGTGACCTCGACATCCCCGGCACATCCCTCTTGATTGAAAAGAATGAGAGCAGACAGTCAGTGAGTGGGCCTGTCTGGCCAGATGGTATTTTGGCTGCACAGCTTTTACACAACGCACACATACATATGATGCTAGAACGCTGAACACAGACCATGCCCCCACCCAACATCCCCAATCCCAAATGCAGAGTAGCCAGGCTTCCAGACATAAATTAAAAACAAAACAAAAACAAAAACAAAAAAACAGTAGGTCTCTGGGAGAGAGCTCATGCAGAGGTGAAGGCAGAAGATCCCGGGAACCAGGGCTGAGAAGAGGGAGAAATCCCTGCCCGTTCGTTCCCTTTGGATGCCTACTCCCCAAAGGGCCTCTGTCCTAGGATGGGGCCACTGACACCAGCCACCAGGCCTTTTGCCCCTTTAATGTTTAGCCTCCCAAACTACTAGATTTTGGTGTCAGTCTGTTCTCCCACCACAGCCCAAGGGAATGGCATCAGGGATGGGGGGATGCCGCCTGTAGATCTTTATTTAGCTTCTCCTGGCTCTAGGTTAGGGTCAGGAGACCCCACGAACTCCTTGCTGAGCCGCACAATTTCCTGGGACAGAACTTCCATGTCCTAAGAAACAAACAAGCCATCAGGGACCAGAGTACGGAGCAGGGGCAGCTCCTTCACCAAACCCGTGTGCCACCTGTGATCTCCTTCTCAGCCCACTAGTCAATGCCCATGGGGGTCTGGCCTGGGACAGATAGGCACTCAGAGAAGCTCACAGATGCCCCAACAAAGGGCTGGGCACATGGAAGTTTCAAAGATGTATGGGAGTCTCTGGAGCTAAGGAGATGGGTTGGGTCACCTGTTAGGGCCACCCTTGCCACCTTCTTTTCTACTAAATGTGAGCTTGCTTCTCCAAGGCAGGAGCTGGGGCTGACTCCTTTATGACTCCCCAAAAAAGAGGAGAATTTGGGTGGCAGGGTGGGCAAACAGATGTGTGGGTAGACACATTAGGTCTAGGGCAGGCAAGTAGATGCATACATGAACTCTGCAGAGGAGAGAGGGAAGACAACCGGTAGGCAGACAGGGCGCAAGATGGGTGAATGAATGGTCAGACAAAGGATGACTACTGAGCAGCTAAGAGAGAATGGTAGATCAGGAAATGGGTGGAAGACCTGGGGGAGATGATTTGATTGGTATATAGGAGGGTGGGTAGATGGTTGGGTGATTTCGTGTATGAATTGATGACTGAATGGGTAAAAGGAAAAGGGAAGAGTGAAAAATCAAACTGATAAACTGACTAGAAGGGTAGTGGACAAACAGATGGTGGGATGACGGGGTGGACAAAGGTAGGTAGCTGGGGGACTGGCAGATGATCTATGGGCTGTGTGGCTTGGGGGAAGGTGGCTGCACGGACAGGTAGGCCACACTCGCCTTATGCAAGTGCATATTCTTGGTGAGCTGCTCCTCCAGCATGTTCTGCAGCTTCTTGTTCATCTCCCGAAGGTTCTCATCACCTGGCTTCACTAGGTCTCTCAGGACGCTGCCCAGCCCGCTGCGGTCTGTGTGGCCTGCTGCCACAGACACATCTGCAAGGGCCCAGGCTGAGCACCACCCCCTCGGCAGAGCCGGAGGAGAGATGGGCAGAGCCAGAGGAGAAAAGAGGAAAACAAAGAACAGGAGGGAGGGAAGGAGAGAAGCCATGTTATGTAGGGGGTGGAGGCTTCGACACGTGAAACCCAGTTCTATGCCTTACTAGTCATATGGTTCTGAGAAATAGTGACAATACCTAGCTCACAGGGCTGAAAAATGCATATGATTGCAGGCAAAGCACAGAGCACACAGTACATCCTCAGTACATGTCAGTGGATATTGCTCAGATTAATGAAGAAAAATCTGAGAGAGGAGAAGTTTTCAAAGAAAGGCACAAAAGAACAGGGAGGAGAGAGAAAAGGAAAGATAATGTGGAAGATGGGTAGGAGAGGAAGAGAGGGCCAAGGAAGACCCCAAAAGGGATAAAGATACAAGGAATAAAAATATACAGAGGGAGAACAATATAGCAAATGAGAGAGAATGAAAGAAGAGGCAGGAAAAAGAGACACAAGGAGAAGACAGCAGGAGGAAGGAAGAAGAAAGAAAGGAAAATGAGGAGGAGGAATAAAAGAGATAGAGAAGGCCAGGGAACCCACTAGAGAATGAAGAGTGGAGAGAGGAGAGAGCCACAGAGAGAAAGAGGAGGCGAGATAAAGACAGCACCCCTGCTCTTCCCTTCAGGACTGGTGGTCTTGTCAGTAGCCTTCCTGAGTTCCAAGAGGAGAAAAGCTGCAGTGCAGCAGTGTATAAGGGATAGGGTAGGTGAAGGCGGGAAGGGGGGTGAGGGCTGGGGCGGGGGCACTGACCAATGCGGCTGTCCATAACATAGGTCTCAATGATGGCGCTCTTCCGGCAAAGGTCCTCTGCCATGGAGGCGCTGCTCACCTCCAGGTGTTTTACCTGCAAGATGGCCCAGCCCACTTCAGGCCCTTCAACTGCGCATGTTTACCCATGAGGAGGGACCCAGCCAGACCCCCACCTCACTGCCCCCCAGATTACTGGACCCCAGAATGCACCTTCTCTTCCAGCATCCATTTCTCCTGCTGTGTCTCTGCCAGCCGCTGAAAGAGCTCAGCCACTTCCTCATCTGACAGCTCTGCTGGCCGAGGGGGCTGGGCCTGAGGGCTACTGGATAAGGACTGCAGAAAAGAGGAGAGAGGCCAACCCTGGCTTAGCACAGCCTGCCCCATGCAGGAAAAAGGGGCTGGAGGGAGGTAGGACCACCAGGGTCCTGTGGCTGGAGCTGGTGGTCAGTCCTGGCACCCTTAGAGACTCTGTGCTCCCCTTGGCCTAAAGTAGGGTAGATAGTAACTACATCAGAGCTTTAGTGACAGGATTAAGGAAGATCCATTAGCAAATGAGATCTAATTTCTAGCTGACAGGAAATGGAGGTAAGAGCAGAACAAGCAAAATGATACAACCAGAAGCCAGTAGAAAACTCTAGTAGAAAAACCTAAAAGGTTGGACGCTTCCTGTAGGTCAACTGAGCTGTTCTATTTTATAAGTTGGTGTAAGGAAAAAAGGGACCACACTGAAGAGACAGGGACAGAAAACAACCAGGTACAACAAGTTCTCTGAAACTGCATGTTGGTTTTCAGAAAATTAAAAATATTTTGCAAAAAATATTTTGGAGTTAGGGTAAAAGACATTTTTATATAAAAATTAAAACATAAAGGGCTGGGGATTTAGCTTAGTGGTGCCATTGCCTGCCTCGCAAATGCAAGGTCTTGAGTTCGAACCCTGTACAAAAAAAAACTTAAAAAAAAATTAAAACATAAAAAAATTGGAAGACATTTTGGGAACAATTAGAAAAATGTGATTAAGATCAAAGTATTAGATGAGATAAAAATTTGCCAAATTGAGAGATCAGATGAATAAAAACAGGTTATTCAATCTCATTTAGGTTTTCATTTTTTTGTGCTAGGATTACTCATTTATGTTTTAATAAGAGATATGTAAGGGTATTAACATGTTCATGTTGGGGTTGCAATTTGTGTGGCACATGCATGACTATTACACTGGGTGGCTTTTTATTAATTAGTAAAAAGACCAATAAAAGTGGGCCAGGAATTTAGCTCCATGGCACCACGCCTGCCTTGCAGGTGCAATGTCCTGAGTTCAATCCCCAGTACCACAAAAAAGAAAAAGAAAGAAAAAAGACCAATAAAAGCGATTACATCCATTTGTACCACCAGTGGTTCAAGCCAGTGGGAACATGTTAACTACAAATTTAACACTTTCCTTTGTTTACTCTTCTTTTTTTTTCTGGTACTGGGGATCAAACTGAGGACTTTGCACTTGCCAGGCAGGCACAGCGCTGCTGAGCTACATCTCAGGCTCCTTTGTTTACGTGTGTGTGTGTGTGTGTGTGTGTGTGTGTGTGTATGTGTGTGTGTGTGTATGTGTGTATGTGTGTGTGTGTGTGTGTGTGTTGCTGGGGATGGAACCCAGTATGCTTGCAAAGCAGGTGGCAGAACCACTGAGCTAAATCCCCAGGTCCCAGCTCTAAAATAATTCATCATTCATTCATTCATTTTTGTGGCACTGGGACTCAGGGCCAGGGCCTTTACCCTTAGCCACATCCCCAGCCCTTTCTATTTTTTTGAGACAGGTCTCATTAAGTCACTAAGTTACCCAGGCCAACATTGAACTTGGGATCCTTCTGCCTCAGCCTTGCAGTGGGCTGGAATTACAAGACTGTATCGCCACGTTTGGCTTTCATTTGATTTTTTTTGTTCTGAGGCACAGTCTTGTTATTTTTTTCAGGGTGGCCTCTAACCTGCAATCCTCCTGTCTTGGGCCACGGATGTAGCTCACTGTACAGTACCTGCCCGACAAGCACAAGGCCCTGAGTTCAATTCCCAGTACCCCCCCTGCCCCACAAAAAGCCAACAAACTTTTTGTCTCAACCTCTTGAGTACTGGCATTACAGGCATGTGCTACTGCACTTGGCTTGAACTAAGTATTCATAAAGGTGACTTCTGAATAGTGAGAATGTGATTTTTTTGGAATATTTAAGTTTTTTAAATCTTTACTTGTTTGTAGTTTAAAATTTTTTTCTGTAAGCTAGATGTGGTGGTGCATGCCTATAATTCTAAGAAACTGAGGCAGGAGAATCACGTTTGAGCCAGATTGAGTAACTTATGAACTTAGTAAGATCCTGTTTCAAAATAAAAAATAAAAAAGGGCTGGAGATGTAGCTCGCTGCAAGGCCCTGGGTTCAATTCCTATTACCAAAAATTAATTTTTGTCTATAATGTACAGATACTATGTATAGAATAATAAAAATGTTATTTCCAAATAAAAGTGGCTAGCAAGGAAGCTGTCATGACAAATGGCAATAATAATGAGTGATGAGGGTAAGCTGGAGAAAGGGACCTCCTACATGGATGGTGCACTTACTACAAGCCACATACTTGAAGGTGCCAGGAAAGGCAGAATGAGCCTGCAAACGATGAAACAAGGCCACAGAGAGAGAATGATTCACCATCCCCTATGTGACAATATGAAGCCAAGTGGATGGAGCTTGGGGAGAGGCTGACAAGAAAATGCTTCTGATGAGCGAGAGCTGCAGCTCAGTGGTAGAGTATATGCTAAGCATTCATGAGGCCCTAGGTTTAAAGCCTAGCACTAAGAGAAACAAAGGAAAGAAAATACTGTGCTAGGCTGGAGATTTAGTTCAGTGGCACCCCACCAGCCCTACAAGCGCAAGGTCCGGAGTTTGATCCGTGGTATGGGTGGGAGGGCGAGAGGGATACTTGTGCTAGGCTTGAGTAGATGTCTGCAACTGAGGGCAAGAGGAGGTGTCCCAGATTTGGAGTGGGAAAAGTAGGGCTAAACCCTCTTCCTGTACCTTACCCTGGCTGGAGCAGCTGAGCTCTCCTTCTCCCGTAAGATCTCCCGATAGCTGAAGGAGGAGATGCTACTGCTGTCCCCCGTCTGGGTCCGGCTTGGTGAATTCATCTCAGAGAGAACCAGCTCCTCAATGCCTGGGTAGTGGAGGGAAGAGAAACCTGACCCCAATCCCCCTGGGTCCCAAGGCAGAACTGGCAGGAAGAAGCAGAAATAGAATATCCGACATAAATGGAAAACAGAATATCCACCATAAATGGAAAGAGGCAAAGACACAGTCAGACATGGGGAAAGGCAGAAGTAGGTAGAAGGACAGAAATGGAAAAAGGAGCCTTGAAAGAGGGTGAAGAGGGAATACATGTGCCTCAAGTAAAATAAGCACTCAGGTCTGGATATGGGGAAAGGAAGATAGACAGTTGGAGGGGTCATGGGCAACACCCATGTGAAGAGAAAACTCCAGAGACAGGAAGCTAGGGCAGATGACAGAGACACTGGAAAAAGACATGGTCAGAGCAGAAGAGAGCAAAAAGATGGAGACAAACTTATAGCCTTGCATCTAGATCTCAGTTCCATCTAATGGACAAGGAGAATGTATGATACATGGTTCTAATCTATTCCATGCTTCTTGCATTATTATGTAATGAACACAGAAATAAAATTCCTGTTATAGAGAAGTTACTTCAGTAGACATAGTACTGCAGAAAGAAACCGAATTGAGAGGTATGGCCAGTTTTGCTATACAATGTTGCTCTTGCAGCTAGCTGCTTCTGCATATTAGGAAGGGGATGACACCACAAGGGTGGAGTTATGGCTGAGTGAAGTTCCACAGGTAGCCAGAGTTGGGGGACAAAGGAACAAGTTTTCTTTGAGTCTGTGACCTAGGAGATGCACCAGAGCCATCACTGGCATCTTACTTCTCTCAGCATATTTGCAGGCCACTCCAATCTAAATAAGGGAAGCAGCAACTTCGTGTGTGTGTGTGTGTGTGTGTGTGTGTGTGTGTGTGAACATCCGTCCTTTGCTTTAACTTGCAAAAGTACAATGGACTGAGTTTGCTGTATAATGAAAACAGCAGAGTCATTGCCTGCATGGAAGTCTGTCTCCCTAGCTCCACTGTGAGCTCCTGGAGGGCAGTGACTGAGGGGGTTTTGTAACAGGGACCCTGGACTTAAACATGGAGTTTATAGAATGAGAGAATAGACATGAAAGATTTAGAAACAAGTGAGATATAGGAGTGCGTATGTAGGTTTAGTGGGAGACAGAACACAGAATGAGAAAGCGGATAAAGACAGAAAGAGATAAAGGGAGAGAGGAAAAAGTAGGGAAGAGAAAAGGAGATAACTAAAGAAAGAAAGGGAGAACAAAGCAAAGAAAAAAGAAAACAGGGAGATTAAGGCAGATACACAGGAAGGAGAGGAAAAAAAATGAGACAGGCCAGAATAACAAAATGAGACAGAGGCAGAGACTGAAATAAGAGAAGAAACACAGCAAAAAGGAAATAGACACACAGAAAGAAAAAAAAATAGATTATGCAGAAAGAGAAACAAACCAGGGACTTAGCTCAATGGTGCCACCACCTGCCTCACAAGTGCAAGGTCCTGAGTTCAACTTCCGGTATTAAAAAAATAATTAAAAAAGAAAGAGAGAAACAGAGATGAGACAAGCAGAGAGCAGGTAACACACTTAGACTTGAAGAGGGACAAAGGAGGTTGAAAAGCAGGGCTGAAGGAGGTGGAAGAAGCCCTGTGGGACCCTGGCTGCCCTGCACCACAACCCACGCTGCCTGTCCTCACGCCTCACCTGAGCGGCTCTTGCTATTAGTGAGGATATCCTGCAGTCGCTCCTGCAGCTTGTCAGCCCGTTTCCGCTCTAGGTGCAACTGCCGCTTGAGATCCTTGAGCTGTGGAGAGACAGGGCAAAGTTAAGAGCCAAGGCCTCAGGAACCCACAGAGAAGGGAAGGGGTATAGGCAAGGAGGGGGCTGTTCTTGGACACCTTCTCATCCTTACCGCAGCACTGCCCTTCTTCTCCAGTATCCTCTGCCCATCCACTGTGTCCTTCACCTCCTGTGGGGTACAAAGGACATATGTGGCAGGTGCCAGAATGACTGCTAACAGAGCACTCCCTCCTTACCCCACCCACACCTAGGGGTATGCCGGGGCTACTGAGGGACTGCTCACCTGCTTCAGGCTGCTGATGGTCTTCAGATGGTCATCTCGCTCCTCTTGGGCCTGCTGGAGTTGATCCCGCACACTCTTTAGCTCCTCCTCCTTGCCCTGCCAAGCACAGAGCAGCTCAGGCCACAGCTTGGGAGGCCTCTGTGCTCCTGTGAGGGCCCACTGGTACCCAAAGAGAGGAACACTATCACAGGACAGACACCTTCAGCTCAGCAGCATGCTGTTCCCGGCGTTGCTTAAGGGTTTCCTCTTGTTCTTGCTGTTGTTGCTGCAAGGATTCCTATAAGACAGGTCCCAGGGTTGGCCACACCCCCCTGAAGACATCATACCCAGTTAAGGGTGTGAGGGTCTACAGCAGGGCCCTTTCGGTACACAGAAAAGAACTTGCAGGAAACACTACATGCTCTTAGGCAGAAATACACACGTAAACATACCATTCATATGGGAGATCTAGATTTATAATTACATTTTCTTTTATTTAACAAAACATAACACTACATGCCAAAAATGTTCTCTAAGGGTTTTATACATATTAACTAATCTTCTATAATACAGACTGTAGCCATTCTTTTTATTTATTTTTCTTGCTGCTGTGGATTCAACTCAAGGCCCCATGCATTCTAAGCACACACTCTACAAGTGAGGTGTGTCCCCATCCCCTATTGTTTTTCCTTTTCTACCAAATATGAAAACTGGTCACAGAGAGGTCAGAGGTCAGATAACTTGCTCAAGTCTATGCAGCTAGGAAGTAGCCTAACCAGGATTTAAATCCAGACAAACAACTGGCTCCAGTCTGTGTCATTCACTGCTACATGACATTTCCTTTTATGTATTGTCATGGGTTTTCCAGAAAACGGTAATATCCTTTTTTTTAAAATCTTGACTTTTTTTTTTTGTACCAGGGATTGAACACAGGAACTTTTACTTGCAAGGCAGGTGGCGGCACCATTGAGCTAAATCCCAGGCCCCAAACCTTTTGTTCCTTTTTTTTTTCTTTGCAGCACTGGAGATCCAACTCAGGACTCAGCTCTAGTGAGGCAGGCAGCAACACCATTGAGCTAAATCCCCAGCCCCCCTTTCTTTGGTTTTTTGAGACAGAGTCTTGCTATGTAGTTCAGGTTGGCCTTGAGCTCACTATGTTGCCCAGGGTGGCCTCGAACTCTCAGTGATCCTATCTCACTCAGCTCCCCAAATGCTGGGATTACAGGCGTGCACCATCACACCTGGCTTGAAAATGGTAATATCCTGCTCAAATAAAATCAGTGTATCACAACTTACTGATAGAAGTACAGCTCCAGAAAGAAGAGGTGTCTTTTCAAACCTGCACAAAGGCAGAGGGCCCTGCACACCTGATGTTCTGCACTACCTGCTGGCTGTCCCCTAGCCCCTTCCAGAAGGCTGCCCAAGTCCAAGACATCTCAGAAAGTTCCAGGCCTGACCATCTCTGCTCCCATGGTTTGGCATGGATGCCACATAAACAACTCTGCACCTCACCAGGCACCTCACCTCAGCTTCCTTTAAGCGCCGCTCAAACCAGCCCTTGGCTCCATCCATGGAATGTACCTGAGCTTCAAGTTCTTCCACTGTCTGCTGGAGATTCTCCAGCTCCCGTGTCCGGGCCTGGAGGGGACATACAACCATGGGCCAGGCAGGCTGAGGAGGGGACATCTCACACATACCATCCATTGGTCCATCTGCAATGCTGTGGTCCCAGGTTTGGGAGGAGAAAGGGATTTGCCATCTACCCACCCACCTTCTCTTCCCGGATCTGCCCACGGAGCTCCTCCTCCTGCCGTTTCTTGTCCTCATGCAGCTCTCGGAGCTCACGCTCATAGCGGGCGCGCACCCCTAGCACCTCCTTCTCATGCCGGAGTCGGACTGCGCCCAGCTCTTCCTTGTGCTGAGACTTCTCCTGCAGTGTCTCCATTGCTAGCTCATCTAGCAAGGCCTTCCGCTTCTCAGCACTCTGGGGTCCAGGAGGGTAGTAGTCAACCTCCTCTCTAACACCAAAAAGGCCCACCACCTTGTCCCTATGCCCAAGGAACCAGCAAGACTCCACTTTCTCCAGCCCTATGGTCACTTTCCTCCCCTTCCCATTCCCACACCATATCACCTCCCCTGAGACCACTGGACTGGGTCAGTCCCCCTTCCCTCCCCATGGCCTCACCTTCCGAGCCTCTTGGAGTTCCTGGGTCAACTGCTCCTTCTCCTGCCCTGTTTCTTGAAGTTGTTCCAGAAGCCGACTATTGGCTCGTAGTGACTCCTAATGCCAGAACAAACAGAATGAGTTTGATAAAGAGCTCCAGTAAATGAGAACGCTTCTGGTAGACCACTTCCCTTCCCCCGGCAATATATTATGATCTCAATCTCTGGATGGGAATGGCAGAGACTGTTAGTTGCTTCCCAGTACTCATTATTCCCTATTTCCTTACCAAAATAATTTTTTTTGAGACAGGGTCTTGATATGTAGTTCAGGCTGGCCTTGGACTCACTATGTAGCCCAGGCTGGCCTCGAACTCATGGCAATCCTCCTGCCTCAGCCTCCCGATTACAGGCATGCGCCATCACACCCATCTTACCAATAGAATTTGTAGTTAGGGTTCCTCCTTAAGTGTAGCTGTGTGTGATTAATTTCTGTATGGGGAACTGGTGGCGTAACTTATCTTATTCTCTTAAAGGAAAGGGGCATGCTTCTCCCTGACCCCTTTTCTTGTTCCTTCTAGATGGAATACAAATGTGATGGTAGAGCAGCTTGAGCAACCATCCTGGATACCAAGATATAAGTCTTATGTTGAAAGTGGCTGAACAGTGATGAAGAGAGAACCTGGGTCACTGGTGATTAGATAATCATCATTCTATCCCTGAGCAATATACCTGGAGTTTTATATGAGAGAGAATTAAATCTCTAGCTTACTTAATCCACTGTTATTCTACTTTTTACAGGTTGAGCATCCCTGACCTGAAATTCTGCAATCTGAAGCCTGTAACTTTAGTGCACCTACATAGTGCGACAGTGGAAAATTAAAGACTTATTGTGATAGTTCATAGTTAAAACACAGGTACATTTAGGGAAGCAGAGGCAGGAAGATCCCAAGCTAGAGCTCAACTTAAGCAACTTAGGGAGACTCTGTCTCAAAATTCAAAAGGCAGCAATGCACTAGGGATTAGCTTAATGTGAAGGCTCTGGTACTGTAAAAAATTCCTAGTACTGCAAAAATATAAATAAAATATCTTCAGGCTATGTGTGTATATGAAACAAAGAATTTCATGTTTAGACTTTGGTCTTACCCACGATATCTCATTAAGTGTATCAAATATTCAAAAATCTGAAACACTTCTGGTCCCAAGCATTTTGGATAAAGGATACTCAACCAGTAGATGGAATATCAACAAATGTTCTAACTGAAGAGGCTCAAGTTTCAGGGAAGTGAAATAACTTGTCCCGGGATATATATGTACTAATAAGAATTAGGGGCCAGGCCGGCATCTAGGTCCTCCTAACTAGTCTTCCCACTGAACAACACAGGGATGCCACTGAGCCAGTGCTAGGGAACCTGTGAGATAGAGCAGGGTCAGAGGTGTCACCTGGAGCTGGGAATTGAGGTCATCTTTCTGTCCCATAAGATCTTCGTACTCAGCCTGCCGTTGCTGTAACTCAGCTGTTAGCCCAGTGGTCTGTTCCCGGAGGACATTCAGTTCCTGTGTCTTTGCTGTTTGGATCTGCAGAAGGTGATAGTGATGGAAAACGGAATGTAAAGGGCCCTAGGGCCCAGGCAACAGGGCATAGACTCCCAGTTCCCAGGAGACCAGTGTGAAGAAAGGTAGGAAGACAGAAAAATAGTGAGGGAAATGAATAAATATGGTATATTCGTGCAACACAATTCTATAGTGATAAAAGAGCAGACCCATGCTATATGTGGATAAACTTCACAGATACAATGGTGTTAAAAAGAAGCCAGGGACAGAGAGCATATATGAAGCTTAAGAACAAGCAAATCAAATCTATGTTGTTAAAGGTCAGATTAACAGTTACTTCTGGGAAGTACTGGCTGGAAGGGGTAAGGTGACCTTTTGGGGTACTAAAAATGCTGTATATGTTGATCTGGAAGTCAGCGACATAGAAATAGAGATAGGGAGATGGATGGATACATAAAACTCACTAAGTATTCAATTAAGATTACATATGCACTTTACTGGAGAAAAACTAGATTTGTAGAGAAGCAGGGATGAATGGCCAGAAGCAAGGTGGCTGGAAGCCAAGGAAGAAGAACAAAAACAGAGGCCAAAGAACAGCATGGAGTCCAGGTCACCCTGTCTGGGTGTGAACCACAAAGAAGAGGAAGACAAGGGAATGAGAAGGGTCAACAAGGGCTCCCAGGTGTCCTGTACCTGCTCCAGGGCAGCCAGGCTAGTCCTCAAGGCATTATTCTCAGCCAATAGCCCTTCCACTTGTTCCTGCGCATCTGCACTCTGGATAGACACCTGGCCCCACCCCCACAACAGGTGAGAGTGGGTCCAGAACAGGGGGACAGGACCTACTTACAGCCAAGAAAGAAAAGAGACAGAGGCACAGAACAGGACTAGGAAAAGTAAGACCACTGAGGCCCTGCTGAGTAGTACCCATGCAGGTGGTCCCCAACCTCAACCTCAGCTTCCTGAGACCAACCAGTACAATATACCTGATCTTGTAGGGCTCGCAAAGTGGCTGCATGCTCCAGGCGCTCCCCCTGCCGTTGATCTCTGAGCTCTGCCAAACTCTGTAAGGACCAGGGAGTCAAGAGAGTTCATTTGAGACCTCAGCCACCCCCTAGAGTGCACAGAACCATACAGACTACCTCTCTGACAGCTTTAACAGTATGTCCTCAGCACCTGTGAGTCTTGGACTAGCCATCAGAGACCTCAGGTACACCCAGACTCCAAGTCCTTACCCACAGGAGCCTCAGACACACTTGTCCCTGTCCCAGTCTCCAAGCATCTCAGACATACCTAAACTCCTTGGGGGCTCAAACTCCCTTATCCCCCACCCAAAAGAGGGCTTACACTTACCGAGATTCTAGCTCAAGAGCCCTAGGATTCTTAGACATACCCAGTCCCCAGAGACCTCAGCTGTGGTCAGCACCCAGGTAGTACTACAGCTTTACCCAGACTCAACCTCAACCACCAGGGGTTGCAAGCGCACTCTATCCCCATTTCCTGAGCTCCCAAGAGTCTTAGATCCACACAAACTCTTAGTCTAGGCCCTAGTAGTTGCAAACTCATACAACTTCCTAGTTTCCAGCTCCTAGGTAAGTCTCAGAATGAAACACCCCACTTATCATTCTGATCCCGTCACTGGGGCTCCTCAGGCCCAGCTCAATACCAGCTCATAGAGGTTTCAGTTTTACCCAGACTCCTGTCCCAGGCCCCATGTTTGCAGTTTCTAAGGGGCCTTACACCCATACACTACCATATTCTCCATTACAAGGGACCTCAGATTCATCTTTTCTAGGGGGAAATGTAAATGCTTTAAAGTCACCCAGCCCCTGACACTGAGGAGCCTCAGACCTATATAGACTTGCTCTACCTTCACAATGACCAGCTTTCTCTTCACTGTCCCCGGGTGTCTCAGGATGACCTAGAGCCCACACAATCCTGCTTTCTATATCTCAGGCCCAAACAAGTCCCCCTGAGGGTCTCAAATGCACCCCACTTTCAGCCCTGACTGTTTCACCTTTCAATGTCTTTTATCTACAGATTTCCCATGTCCTTGGCTCCTGTGAGTGTCAAATTTACAACCCTTACATGCCTCAACAACACTCAGCCCAGAGAGCTGATATTCACCCCAATTGCTAGTCTCAGTACCTAGTAGAAGTTTAACATTGATACAAACTTGAAACTTGTATCAATCTCCCAAATTCTCAGCCACAGGATGTTTGACCCATACAGATTTCTATCCCAACTCCTAGAGCTCTCAGAGCTTCTGAATTCCCATTTTCCTAGATTCTGGAGGGTCTAGACCCATCCAGTCCCTATATTTCCACCACAGGACATCTCAGACTCTCTAGTCGGCCTCCATGGACATCAGATCTCCCCAGACTGCCAGCCCCATCCCTACCCTGGGGATCTTGGGACCTAGCCCAAGCTCACTTGATTGGCAGCCTCAAGTTCCTGCTGTAACTTCTGGGTGCGAGCCAACTGGGCTTTGAGATCTGCTTCCTTCCGCTGTTGCAACTCCTCAATCTTGTTCCTGGGAGTGACAGGGACAGGGCGCACAGGGCATGTCTTAGTCTCAGGGGCTCAGTCCCTGTAGTCTTCAGGTAATTCTGCTGGGCACAGTCTCATCTTGTACACTAGTGCCTCCAACATAGGCAGTTACCTGCTGTCATTAAATAGTGTCTCCTTTTCTGACTGCAGACGGCAAAAACTGGACATGGAAAGACAGACACAGGTGGATCAGATCCACAGGTCAATTTCCTTCTAGGCCCCCAAACCCCCTAGAAAAAAGAAATGTACCTTTCTTGTTTCTTTTTCAGTTTCTCAGACAGCTGGAAGGATAAGGAAGGAAGGGGTACAGAAAAAATATTAACAATGATCATAGTATTAAGATAAAAATTAACTTAATATTCACAAATACTTCTGAGTTTTCCCTGGAAGACAAGACTTACATATGTTATATGTGGAATCTTCAAAATGGCCCTGAAAAGTGAGTACTACCGGTTTTATCAAAAAGGAAACCGAGTCTCAGAAGGATGAAGTAATTTGGTTGCCCAGCTGGCCAGGAGCAATAGCATTATCTCCACCTAGATTCCAAAAGTGAGCCATTTATACCCCCAAAATGTGGCTAATGGCCACTTCATAGAATGGCTGGCTAGGCTGGAAGGCCTAGATGGCAGGATTCTGACTGCCCTTCCCATCACTGCATCTCCAAATTCAAGAGCCAGGAGTCTGTAAATGCTTGCTTGCATGAATGAATGAATGGGCTAAGCTGGGAGAAGACAGAAGGGCTAGAGTCTGCCTTACACAAGGTAAAGTGGGACTATATTAGCCTATTCCATATTGAAAGCAATTCTGAGATGTAATTGTGAGTCTTTCCACTTCATACATGATGAAACTGAGGCCCTGAAGAGGCACAACACCCCTCTGTTCTGTCAAGAAAAAAAATAGGCAGCCCCACCTTAGCAAGTTCCTCCTGCAGCCTGGATGTTTCAGCCTGCTTTGAGCTCTGCAGGGGAAGATGATGCAGGGGCCTGTGGTTAGCAAGGACCCACCTCCCTCATCCCTTTCTTCAGCCCACAAGATGGTGATATCACAGTCATCTTCATGGGACCACAGGCAGAGCCAGGGCATCTGCCTGCCTCCCAGCATCCCAGCCTCAATAGACCCAAGTTTACCTCCAAGCCTTGCAGCTGCTCCCAGAGCAATCTCTTTTCCTCTTTCTCCATTTCCCATTTCAGCTCTACTTCTGCCAATGGCATGGGGGTCAGGACAGTGGGGGCCAGGTTCCCTGCATGGTCCCCTTGGCCCCCACTGACAATTGAGGACTTCACAGCCTCTTTCCCATAGCGCTCCTGCAGGGCTGGTGAATAGAACAAGAATCAATGATAGATGAGGCACTTGCTTAAGTCCCTGGACATGCCTCAGGGGAGGAACTAGCCTTTGACCTGCCAGGTCTCCTGTCCCAAATCCTACCCATGCCTTTCACAAATTTAAACCTTATCAACCTCTGAGATCTTGTCTACCATGTTCCACCTCCTACTTATAGCTGAACCCCTTCTAAATAGCCTTCCAACTCCCACCCACATTTTACCAAGTTTTCCACAAAAAAAGGTCCAGCTGCTTATAAAGGTCCACACATCAGGACCTTCCCACACTCTACCAAGCTGTCTTTCAGCTTTCATCCCAGACCCCACTTACAATCTGGGTAAGAATCTTCCCACCGCTCCTTCATTCACTATCTCCATTTAGAGAATATGTCCTTTACAACAATCATGCCACTGCTCTCTAGTATATGCTAAGTACCAAGCCACAAACTGCAGAATAATATACCTTTTTTCTCTACTACCATCTTTCAGGTGCAGACATTGCTGTATACTTTATATATGGAAGGAGAGGTTGGCTCAGAGAGGAAAAATGGTTTCTCCAAGGCCACATACTGGTTCATGGCAAGCCTCATTCTAAAGCCACTCTGAAGCCCTTTTCCTTCTACTGAGAGGACAACAAACATTCCATCCTCTATTCAAGCCCTGAAATCCCATGCACCTGCCACATTCTTCTGTAAGGCCATGTTCTCTGCTTGCAGTCTCAATAGCTCTCCATCCACATGGGGGCCAGCTTGGATGGCCCCTGCTCCAGCAGCTCCTTCCTTCAGTTGCTGGTTTTCCTGCTCCAGCTGCTCCATCTGGTTGCAGAGCTAAGCAGAGAGAGGTAGCAGAGCAACAGTGAATTAGAACAATGCTTGCTTAAATACTCAGCACCTGGCCATGCAGTTTATAATTAATTTAATTACTATAAGGACCCTATGACTTTACAGATAAGGATACCGAGGCACAGAGATGCTAAACAACTTCAAATTCATACATCTAAGTGGCAGAGTTCAAAAGGATGAGAACAATTTCCCCCCTGCCTGCTCCAGACCTCTCAGATGCAATCCCAGACCTGACATCTCAGGAAGTTGTCAGCACTATGGAGAACCCTACTGTCCTATAGTCTGTATGCAGCTCCTCCTCAGCACAGGTGCCACAGACAACTTTCAAGGCATTTTTAGGCCCAGCACTGCTTTGCCTGCCCTTGGCCTTGCAATGCAAATAAAACTAAGCCAGCCTCCTGCTTACCTTCTGATCAAATATAGTTCACACAGCATTCCTAAAATAATCTCTTGTCCCCAAATTCAGACAAGAATACTGATGTCTACACAGAACTTTTATTGCGTGGGATACTTTCTTTTTTTTTTCTTTTTTTTTTTTTGCCTGGGATATTTTCTACTCAAAACATTATTTCTAATCTGGGATGGTGGACACCTACAATCCCAGCATTTGGAAGGTTGAGGCAGGGGGATCATCATGAATTTGAGGCCAGCCTGGGGTACATAGTGAGTTCAAGGCCAGTCAAAACTACAGAGCAATAGCCTGTCTCAAAAAGAACCAACCAATCAACCATCCAACCTTATTTCTTTTTTTTGGGGGGGGTGGTACCAGGGATCAAACTCTGGCCCTTGGGCTTGCGAGATAGGTGGCAGGACCACTGAGCCAAATCCCTGGCCCCATTACACTTTTATTTGCTTTCCTAGCTTTTTTTTTTTGTACCAGGGATAGAACTTGGGTCCCTGCACTTGCAAGGCAGGCGGCAGAACCAAGGAGCTAAATCCCCAGCCCCCAACCTTATTTCTTTCATCCAGTTCTTCACATGACTGGCATCTTCTTTGCATCTTTTAGTGTTTATTTATTTATTTTTTGCAGCCAGGGTCTCACTATGTAATTCAGGCTGGCCTTGAACTCACTAGGTAGCCCAGGCTGGCCTCAAACTCCTTGCAATCCTGCTTCAGTCTTCTAAGTGCTGGGATTATAGGCATGCGTCAACATGCCCAGTTGATGTAGCTCAGAGGTAGAGTGCTTGCCTAGAATGTGCAAAGTTCTGGGTTCCAGCTCAACCAAAAAAAGTAGTAGCATTACTCAATATATAAATTCTATCATTCTATAATCTATAATCTATATTCTAGCATTATATTCATATCTTTCTTTTTACCATTAAGTTTACTGGTACATTTTAGGTATACAATAGTTACATTCATCATTGGGATCTTGTACCTTTACATGATGTATCTTGGTTCTTATTTTTTACCCATTCCCCTACCCTCCCTTCACCCTTCCCTATTGACAAAGACTTTGTTTCCATGTTTTTCCTTTCTCGTATTTTTTTCTTTTCCCTTCTTTCCTTTTCCCTACCCCTCCCACTTCCTACTCCTTTAGACATTTTCTTCCTATTTCACCATATTGTTCATATCTTTCTTACCAAGCATTAATCACATCTTTTATTTTATCATGCAAAGCCACAAGCGCAAATTCTGAAACAAGGCTGCCTGCATGTGAGTTTCTACTGTGCCATTTACTGTCCAGATGATCTTGGGAAAATCTGCTTAAATCTCCCTAGGACTTAAGTTTTCTTCATTCGTTACACAGGAATGCTAAAAATGTAACACAGACTTGTTGCAAAGATTAAATGAATAATGTAAAGCACTTCAAACAGGAACTGGTACAGGAAATGCCACATAAATGTCCATTGTCACTACTGTTATTTGCTACTTTAATTTGTTTTGTTTTTGTGGTACTGGGGATCGAACTCAGGCCCTTGTGCTTGCAAGGAAGGCAGCAGAACCACTGAGCCAAATCCCCAGACCAAAAATCTTTTTTTTTTTTTTTTGGTACTGGGGATTGAACTCAGGCCCTTGTGCTTGCAAGGAAGGCAGCAGAACCCCTGAGCCAAATCCCCAGACCAAAAATCTTTTTTTTTTTTTTTTTGGTACTGGGGATTGAACTCAGGCCCTTGTGCTTGCGAGGCAGGCAGCAGAACCACTAAGCTAAATCACTGGCTGCTGCTTTATTTTGAGACAAGGTTTCACTAACTTGCCCAGGCTGTCCTTGATCTCATAATTCTCCCACCTCAGCCTGCCAAGCAGCTGACATTACAAGCATGCACCACACGCCTGGTTTATTATTTACTACATTATATCCTTTTCCCCCATCCCACCTATAGAATGTTGCCTGATAACTGGAGACTATTCTGTGCTGCTTACAACTGTTTTTCTAGAACACAGGGCACAGAGCAGATGCTCAGTAACTATTTGCTGAGGGAGCAATTGAGCTCAAATATCTTGGCAAAAAAGAGTGGAAGCAGGCTTTTACTCCAGGTCTCCCTGTGAGTACTACCATTGCTTGGGATGAGTTAGAACAGGATTATGTAGTCTCTACCTCTGGTCAAGTGCCTGGCCCGGGGTGATGCAGGGAAACTTGAGCTGGTTTTATCAAAGAATGCCTTCCCCGCCTCATCCAAGAAAGAACCACTACACCATGGAAAATGGAGGCAAGAAGCAGTGAGAAGTAAGGCACTGAGGCCAATGGTTATGTGAGTGCCAGGACTCCGAACTGGGGTGAGGAAGCCCACTAGAGGGTATTGTTTAAAGCAGTGTAAGGTTATGGGTCAGAAAACCTTTGTGGATTGGATCAATAGAGAAAACTAGAAGTGGGAAGACCACAAATAAGACTGAAAATTAAGCAGGAGTGAGGGTATGGCAGGCTGAGACAGGCCAGGACCAGAGGATAGATTTTTCTGTTGTTGCAGATGGTAATCGATCACAGAATCTTGCATAGGCTAAGCATGTACTCTACCACTAAACTACAACCCCAGCCCTTTCTGAACGTTTTTGGGGGAGAGGGGTTTGAGACAGGGTCTCACTATATAGTTCAGGCTGGCCTTGAACTCACTATGTAGTCAAGACTGGCCTTGAACTTGTGGTGATCTTCCTAACTTAGCCTCCTGAGTGCTGAAATTATAGGTGTGCGCCACTATGCCAGCATCTTTCTGAACTTTTAAAAAATTTGATAGCCACAGGCTATGGATGTAACTCAGTGGTAGACCACATGTCTGATATGTACAAGGCCCTGGGTTTAATCCAAACACTGAAAAAATGTCAAAAAATATTTTAGTGGGAAAAGTTGGATGTAGTGGTGCATGCCTATAGACTTAGCTACTTTGGAAATTGAAAATGAGAAGTTCATTTGAGCACATTAGTTTGATACCAGCCTGGGTAATACAGCAAGACCCCAGATCAAAAAAGAAATAAATATTTTATACAGAAAATTAAGCCGGCGTGGTGGTGCACATCTATAATTCCAGCACTTGGGAAGATGAGTCAGGCAGATCACTGTGAGTTCAAGGCCACCTTAGTCTACACAGTGAGTTCAAGACCATCCTGAGCTACATAGTGAGACACTGTCTCAAACCCCCCCTAAAAGAAAATTAATTAGTAAAAGGAAAATAGCAGTAGCTAATACTTCCCTATCTAATACTACATGCAAGGCTGATATAAGTGACTACCCATTTAATCCTCATAAAAGCCCATGAAGCAGGTGCTATTATCATTATCATTTTCATTTTATGATTTTTTTTGAGACAGGATCTTGCTATATAGTTCAGGCTGGCCTTGAATTCACTATGTAGCCTAGACTATCCTCGAACTCATGGCAATCCTGCCTCAGCCTCCCAAGTGCTGGGATTACAGGTGAGCACCACCACAACTAGCTATCATTTCCATTTTGGGACCAAAAAACAGGCAAGTTAAGTGACTTGCTCAAGGTTATAGTTAATAAAAGGTACAGCCACCAAGATTTTAATCTAGACCGTCTAACTGCAGAGTCCCTGCTCAGAACTACTGCATGCTAAACCACCTCTCCTGGTATCGCACCTGTTTTACAATTGTCTTATTGTGTTTTTTTAAGGTCTTATGTATTTTATTCTTAGGTCTAGCCTTTGAAATATCATTTTTGTAGCCAGAGGAATTTTTTCCCCTTAAAACACATTAGAAACTTATTAACCATGGATCAAGAAAATAGATAAAAGAACAAAAAGATGCTTCCAACTGCTCAGTAGGTTTAGAAAGAGCCAGAACACTAAAATCCAGGATGAATTTTTTTTGTACTGGGGATCGATAGGATGAATTATCTGGAAGAAGGAGAACCCTAGGTTCATAGAAAATAAAGGGAAGAAAGAGAAAAGGGAAGAGGCTTAAACATTCTTCCATCCCATATTAAGTGTAAGTACTTTTCCTAAAACACAAGGCCTTGGGGCTCCATAGCACCAGCCCCAAATTATACATATGGAAATTTGAAAGTCTAAAGAAAAGGAATGCTCTAGCTAGGAACCAGCCAACCTCAAGGATTAAAATCTTCTAATCCCACCACAGTGAATAGTCCCATTTGTCAATCACTGTCCACTAGCAGCAGGCCAGGACATGTTTCAGCACCACGGACAGTGTCACAGAGCCAGACCCTGTCCATCCTAGCTGCTGTCGTCAGCTTCAGCCTAGATCAGTGATGGCGAGCCTTTCAGAGCTTTCAATGATACAAACAGCCCGCTGAAGCACATGTGCCATTGGTATGCCCCTACAGGCCTAGATACTCCCAACCCCACACACATATGAAAGCACCATTCCTCCATTCCCGCTCCTCCCTCATCTATCCCAGACACCAGCACCTTGCTGAACTCGGCCATAAGTGTGCTGTTCTGCAAACGGAAGTCTTCTTCCTGGCTGTGCAGCTTTGCCTGAAGCATCTCATTTTCACTCAGCAGTACCTCAACTTCCTATAGTGGCAGACATGGGTTAGGACTCCAACAGAAGTAGCAAAGATAAGTTGGGGGGAGGTAAGACAAAGAAAGAGAGGGAGAAAATGATACAAGGAGGAGAGAGCACAGAGTACAGAAAATAAAGCATACAGAGAGAGGAAACACACCAGAAGGGATAAAATGAGACAGAGAAGGAAAGGCAGAAATAAGGGGAAGTAGAAAGTGTAGAGGGGGACATAGAGAGGAGGGGAAAGATGAGAAGATAATCATAGGCAAGAGGTAGAGAGAGACGGGGAATGGGAGCAAGATGGGGAAGGGCAGCACCAAGAGGGAAGAAGGAAAAAAAACATAGGAAGACAAGAACAGAGAAAAATCAACAAAGAAAGAATAGAACAGATAGAAGAGAAGGAGTCAGGAAAAGAAATGAGTCAGGAAGAGATAGAGGAATAAGGGAAAGAGAAACAAGGAATTGGAGAATGAAAGAAACAAAATACAGAAAACAAAAATGATGACAGAGATAGGAACAGGTTGGGAAGAGACAAAGAAAAGGTTAGGGAGAGAAGTCAAAGAACAGGAAGACAGAGACAAGGACAGAGTCTCAGAGAAGGATAAAGAGAGACAAAGGGAGAAAGATACACAGAGAGGCAAGAGTACTAGACTACACAGGAAGACAAAGACACAGAAACACATGGCAATGAAGAAGTCATAATGCAAAGGCACACCACAAAGAAAGGCCAATACAAGGAGCCCCAACCATAGAAATATCCCCAAGAAGACATATTTACCCACCATGGCCCTCCTTACCTGAGCTTTCTTGCTCTTGCTCAGCGCCTAAAGGGAGGGGCGGGAAGAGAGCTAATGTAAACAGAGATGGACTCTCGAAGTAGGGTATGGAGACAATTGTGGTAATTGCTAAGGAAAGACAATGATGACAAAAGTATAATGGGAGCATCTGCAACTTGAATACTTCCATGACAATTTGGAGCACAGGAATGATGGAATGAGTAAGTGAATGAATGAGAAACCTGCCTTAACTTCACAGCACACAGAAATTATCCTTTCCTCTATTCTCTTAAGGCTTCAGGGAGGCGATCTTAGTGTTTAACCTTTTATAGGCTGAATCTCCAAACCCCCAAAATTGTGGCCTCATTGTTACATCTATCCAAACACAACTAATCCCGCACAACATAGAAACTGCTGGTCACCTGCTAGGCAGCCAAGGACATAGCCAGGTTTGTGGAATCAACAACTTCATAAAGAGATGCCCTGCTTCCTGACTGCCAGATTTTCTGCCTTCTCTATTCCTATCTATCTAGCAGATACCACACTGTGATACATATGGGAACAAAGCAGTAAAGATAGAGACAAAGGAGGGCTGGGGATTTAAAGATAGAGACAAAGGAGGACCTTGAATGTCTTGAGGGGCCATAATAGATTACATTTTTCTAATCTTTGGAGGAACTGAGACAATTTCGTCTCATTTTAACAAAAGGACCAGAAAAGGGATGGAAGGTTAAAGCACATGGCAGGAGTGTTATTTGAGGATGAGAGGCAGATGATGCAAGTCAGATTTACTGAAAGATTTGACTATTTAATTAAAAGTCAGTATACGACAATGAGTAATTGAAATTAGAATGAATTAAAGATAAATTAAAATGAATAAAGTTGCCAGGCATGGTGGTGCATGTCAGTAATCCCAACACTTGGGAGGCTAAGGCAGGAGGATTGCCAGGGGTTTTGAGGCCAGCTTGGGCTACATAGTGTGTTCAAGGCCAGCCTGAACTACATAATGAGGCCTGTCTCAAAAATAGATAATAAAATAAAATAAAGCAGAATTAGGTAAAATTAACAAAATAAGAGACTATAAGAACTGCCCCCACCAAGGCAGGGCATCACTATGTAGTTCAGGCTTGCCTTGAACTCACTTTGATCCTCCTCCTCCTGAATGATAGAATTACAGGTGTGCACCATAACACCAGGCCAAGAACTCTTTAAATGACTCCATGAAAATAGCATGTAACATTAAGTCCGGTCACTGAAGGTGCTCACTGAATAATAAAAGTCAGACAAGTAGAGGGGATCAAGGAGCAGGTGGATGGGTGAGTGAAGGAAGGTACCTTCTGAGCTTTACTGAACTCCTTATCCAGGTAGGCGACCTTCTGTCGAAGACTGGCAAGTTCTAGTGTGGGAAAAGCAAGTAATCTCAGCCTCAGGCAGTGGCAAGGAACTGAAGGGTCTTCCTGCCAGGACTCTGAGGTAAAACCTTGGCCTCTGTTCCCCAAACCCACTCCCATATAAAGAGACACCCCCCTCCCTCGGCTCACCAACTCCATTCTTGCGTAGTTCATCTGAAAGCTGGTAGTTGTTTGTCCGGAGTTCCAGAAGCTGAGCCTTTGGGGGAAGCAGAGAACGGAAGAGAATTGGTCAGAAAAGCACTCCTATGCTCAACCATGAGGGTACCAAGTCTCTAAGGCCTATGGACTGGATGGGCACCCTCCATGCGTCTTCTCAGGCACTCCTTATCACCTGTGCATACTACATCCTAAATGAGCTGCCAGGACCCAAGCCCTTGGCCCACCTTCTCCAGCTCTATTTATAACTCTGGGCAGCCTCACCACTTCATTTCCCCACTTTCCAATCTACTCTGCACTCAAGCCATCAGGCCATGGCAGAGCACTGACTCAGTTGTTCACATACATTCCATAACTCTCCTTACCCACATGAAGTTCCTCTGCCTCATCCTGGCTGACCTCTTCACACACTGAACACTGTCCTAACAAGACTAGAAGTCCCTCAAGGCATGGAACAGAAGACTGCCTTCCTACCTCCCAAGGGAAGAGGAACAGGGGGGAGAGAGAAATAAGGAATTTGAGAATAAAAGAAACAAAACACAGAAAACAAAAATGATGACAGAGATAGGAATAGGTTGGGGAGAGACAAAGAGAAGGCTAGGGAGAGAAGTCAAAAAAAGAACAGGAAGACAGAGACAGGGACAGAGACTCAAAGAAGGATAAAGAGAGATAAAGGGAGAAAGATATTCTCCCCAACTTCCATTGTATCAGGATGCCTCTTAGAGCTCTGTTACTCTCACAATTCACAAAACATGTCTAGACACACTTCAAGAATCAAGGGACAGTGAAATATGGGCCATTCCAAACAGCACACTTCTCTCTGCTAGTCCAGGAGAGCCCCAAAGCTAGTTTATCTTAGACCCACTCACTGTCACCTACCTCACCAGGACCTTTTTTCCCTCTCAAAGCACTAGCCTCCACTCTTCTCCCTTGGGTAGTCTGCTCAAGGTCTTGCCCCTGTCCTCCACAGGACCCAATGACTGGTCTAAGTCCTGGTCCAACTGGAACACCCTTTCCCCTACCCCGTGAAATCCTTCCCTAAAAGAACCCAGTGGTTTTCCCTCACACGTAACCCAGTAGAATCAATCTTTCTTACTCAAGCCCCCACTCCACCAAGATCTCACCAGTCATGATCCAATGGAATGACCCTACACACTTCAGGGTCTCTCAAGTGAAAGGCCTTGCATGGGCCACCTTGATTACTCCTACTTAACATCCCGGCATAACATCCCCATTCATGACCCAATGATCTCAGTTCCTCCCTTCCACCCCTGGGACTCAGTGTTTCTCCCTTTCAAAGTCTCCCCCCAGAGAGGAACTCTCAAGAAAGTCCCACTCATGATACAATGCTATATTTCACACAGTCTGAGAGTCCCCAACAAAGGAATCAAGTGGCCAGAGTATCTCCCAAAGTCCAGTGATTTCCCTTCCATGCAGCCCTAAGATATCACTTTTACTTCCTTTGGTCCTCCCCACAATAGAGAGTAATGGTATCACCCATTCAGGGCCTTCTTGGCCTAATGGAATCAACCCTAATTATCCAATGGTACCGCCCCCTCTTAGGATCCCCTACCACCAGTGGCACAGGCTCTCCACCTCCCTTGAACACATCCAGGGGCCTTTCCCCAATTTCTTGGCATAATGGTGCCTCTCATAAACATCCCACCTCCCACTGGATAATGGTATTGTCCTCTCAAAGGCTCCCCCCCACCATGACGCAAACTCCCGCTTCCTTCTCCAGACAAAATGGTTTCGCCCTGTCAGGATCTCCTTCCTTCAGAGCCCAACGTTATCATCACCCATTGATGGTATACCCCCACACACAAGCCGAAAGGTCTCGTCCCCTCAGGGCTGAGTAAAATATCGCCTACTTAAGGACGCTCTCCCCGCCTACAAAGTAAACAGAATCCAACCTTCAGACCACATATACTATATCAGAGACCAGTAGTCTCGCCACTGTGAACCTCAGTTTCCATTCTCTAAACCAGCCCTTCAGACTCAAGGTCCACCCCAACCAACTTCTTCTCAGAGAAAGTGGTATGACTTCTCCCTATCCCACTCCCAGTTGCCTAGCGCGGTGCTCTACCCCAAGGTAAGCAGCACCTGCATCCGCTGAAACTCCTCTTCAGACAGAGCTTGCGCCATGTTCCTCCCCCCTCCCCCTTCAGCTTTCTGCGCAGAAGCAGCTAGTGCCTTCAGTTAGTATTAAGGTTGGACCGAACCAATGGCCAGGAATGGAGGGGGAGGAACCTAATACAAATGTTCGGCATTTTAGAGACGGAGAGAAAAGAACAAAACTGACAGGTCAGGTAAATTGTAATGGAATGTTTGTCCAGACTGTAAATCATCTGATATGGCTTTTGAGCTTTTATAGACTACCTATTTTTTGTGCGACATTATGGTATCCCTGTCTCCTGGGTGGACTCGTCGCTAGGGAAGTGTTCGCCGACAGAAAAATCACCGTTCCTCACTTCTCCTTTAAAGAAAACGGTTGATTTAATAACCGTAGAAATGAAAGCGGAAGCTTTGCTCTGGTCTAGTTCCCGCCCTCCTCCGGGCGACCCCAGAGAGGAATCCCGCCTCAAGTTAAGCCTTTGGCCCCGCCCCCCTGTCAAGATTTCACAGTGACTTTTATTAACATGACTCTGTACATAATGTTAGGTAAACGACCTAGCAACCAATAAATTTAAAATACCTGACAGGGAAAAAAAAAACCTGACAGGAAAAAATAACAATGAATGAGAAAAAAGTCTCTATTAAAAACAACAACAACAAAGGGCCGGTGATTTAGCTCAGCGATTTGGTGGCCTGCCTTGCAAGCGCAAAGACCCGAGTTGAATCCCGGTACCAAAAAAAAAAAAGCACAACAAAACAAAACAACAACTAAAACAAGGGCTAGGGCCGCTCAATGGTACTTAGCACTCTAGGCCTGGGTTCAGCAACCAGCAAACGCGCACGTGCACGCGCTCATACACACACATGCACACACACACACACACACACACACACCCCAAATAAATATTAAAATGCATTATAACCCTTATGGCTCCCCGATCTGAAAGTAATAAATAGTATTTCTGTAGTTTTATTGGTTTTTTTCCCCCCACAGGAATGATATGATTTCCCTGCTGCGAGAAAATATTTTAGCCAGGGATCTCTTTTATTTCTTTAGTAATGTAATGAAGCTTACTGAGATACATTACTTAACTCTACATCTAAAAAGCACCAATTATAAGGGTGCAAGTCAGTGAGTTTTGAAAAATGCATGCAACCTCATAATCACCACCACAATCAAGAGAACCTTTGATCATCTCCTAAAGCTTTTCTGCCCTGTCCCTCCTTCATCCCCTGCCTCCCATCCCAGGGAAGTGGCTGACTGGCTTCCTACCTCACAGATTGTATTTATATTTTGTAGAATTTCATACAAACGGGATGAGATAGTCATTCAGCATCATGCTTTTGAGATTCATCCAAGCTGTGTATCAGCATTTTTCTTTTATTGATGATTAGAATTCCATAGTGTGGATATATCACAGTTTATCACAATTTTATTATCCATTCTTAGTGTAGTTTTTTTTTCTTTTTTTCCAGTTTGACATGCCAGGGATGAACCTAGAGCCTTATGAATGCTAGGCAAGTGCTCTACCAGATAAGTTATACCCATCCCTAACAGGGTTTTTTGTTTGTTGGCTTTTGATTTTTTTTTTTGAGATAGTGTCTTCCTATGCAGTTCTGGTTGGCCTTGAACTCAGTATGTAGCCCAGGCTGGCATCGAACTCTCAGAGATCCTCTGTGCTTGGACTACAGGTGTGTGCTACTATGCCTGGCTTTTTAGTAGTTTTAATATGAGTTTCTCTTATGAGTTAGAATGAACATCTTACCATAGGTTTGAAGACTTTTTCAATATTTTTGTTACATTTTGCTATAATATATGTTGCCTATATCTTCTACCAGTTGGTCAGTTGGCTTTCAACCTAGAAGCTAGAAAATTTATGTATGGATAGTAATCCATGTATACACACCTATTTACAATTATTTATGTATCTGTCTGTATTTAAGATAAACAAGCCCGGCACGGTGAGGCATGCCTGTAATCCCAAGACTCTGAGAGGGTGATGAAAGAGGAGCACAAGTTCTGTTCTAGGCTACTTAATGAGACCCTGTATTTCAAAAGAACAACAAACAAACAAAAAACAGCAAGGAACATAGCTCTGTGTTCAATTTCCAGCACCATAAAAAAGAGAAATATAAACATGAATTCATACTGACAACCACCCATTTACTTAATTGTTCAAACTCAGTACAGTAGCAGGATTGCTGACCCACTCATATGCTCACTGAAAATGACTTTACCAAATGGAATTAACTACTTTGAACACTTTTTGTCTTTGGCCTTGGAGTTTCCAATCAAACCGCTATGTTCCAGAGTGACTTTGCTCAGTATCAGTCCCCCCTGCCCTCTGTAATGAGTTTAGATCATATGTGTTGTAACATACTTACACTTTGTTGTCAGTCTGCATTCTTTTCTGGAGCTCCTGAAAAACAATCAGATTTTTTGAAATTGCAAATATTAGGATGTAACTTTTTTTGTGCATCAAAGCCCTAGGAATTTTGCCACATTTTGTCAAATATATTTTTAATTTTTAAAAAATTGAAAGATTTCCTCATAGTTTTTTGGTTTTGTTTTGTTTTTGTACCGGGGGTTGAACTCAAGACCTTGCACTTGGAAGGCAGGCTTGGTGCCACTGAGCTAAATCCCCAGCCCTTTTTCAAATTTCTTATTAGGTCCTGCTGGAAATACAGCTCAGCAGTAGAGTCCTTGCCCAGCACATGGGAGGCCCTGGATACAGTCTTGAGCACTGCAAAAAAAAAAAAAATAAAAAGAAAATCTCGTTATGTTCTTTCCTAAGTATATCATTTTCTTTGTTATTATTGTTTTGTTTTGTTTTTTCTTTACAATGCTGGGGATCAAACCTGATAAGCAGGTGACCTCTCACTGAGCCACATCCCCAAGCCCCTTTGCCGCTATTATAAGAGGTTTGAGGTTTGTTTGTTTGTTTTTTAGTACCAGGGATCGAACTCAGGACCTTGCATTTGTGAGGCAGGTGCAGCGCCACTGAGCTAAATCCCTGGCCCATAAAGAGGTTTTATTAATCATTATACTGGAAAAAAATCATTATATTGTATACTCTGATTATTGATGGTATATATAAAGCCCCTGATTTCTCTTTGTTAAATATATATTCTTCCACTTTGCTGAATATTTTTTCCTTTTTTGTTTTTGAGACAGGGTCTGCCTATGTAGTTCCATCTGACCCTGAACTCATTATGTAGGCCAGGCTGACTTTTAACTTGCAGTGATTGTCCTGCTTCAGATGCCCGAGTTCTGGGATTACAGGAGTGCACCACCACTCTTGGCTCCTGTATACTTCCATAATTTCAAAAAGTATAGTGTGAGGGCTGGGGATTTAGCTCAATGGTTCCACCACCTGCCTTGCAAGCACAAGGACCCAATTTTGATCCCTGGTACAAAAAAAAAAAGTATAGTGAATACCTTCATAGATTTATTATTGATTCTCTAGAATTTGTCAGATACAAAAGCATACTATCTGAAAAAAGAGATATATTATTCCTTGTTTTCAATCAGATTGCCTTTCACCGATTTCTCTTATCTAATTCTCACTTTCTGCTAACAAGAACCAGGGTCCCTTGGAAAAATGGCTGGTACCAGGACTGGGGTGAAAGAGCACAAGATCAACTTGAGGCATCTTGTTTTACCACCCATTGAATACATGTGAATTTTGTTTTTCAAGGGTTTTTTTGTTTTGTTTTGTTTTTGTTTTGAGACAGCGTCTCACCGTATAGTCCAGCCTGGCCTTAAACTCACTATGTATCCCAGGTTGGCCACGAACTCTCAGCAACCCTCCTGTCTCAGCCTCCCAACTGCTGGGATTACAGGTGTGTGCCATCATGTCCAGTCTGTTTTTAAATATTTATTTATTTATTTACTCAGTACTTAAAGAATGAATCCGGGGTCTTTGGACTGAATTACATGCTCAGATCTTTTTATTTTTTTATTTTGAGATAGGGTCTTGTTAAATAACAAGCCCAAGCTGGCCTTGAACTTGCA